TCGCCGGCCTTAACAGGCGCTCGCCAACAACACTCGGTATGCGTTCGCTAGCGGCCTGCAAAGGCCGCGCTGGGGATCTTTGTCTTTGTGCGCGTGTGTGTGTGTGCGCGCGTGTGTGTGTGCGTGCACGGCGAATGGGAGAGTGAGCTGGAGGGGAGGCGGGGAGCGGGGGGGGGGGGAGAGAATCCCGCGTGGAGAGGAACGCGCACACAAGCGGCGGCGGCGGCGGCGGCAGCGGGCTACGCATTGAGGCCATTGTGAGCGTGGGAACTGCCCAGCTGTGAGCCGCACTGCTGCCCCTCTCAGCCATATGCCCATCCCAGCACTCCACACGCGCACGCACGTCAGGTGTGCCTGCCGGCGGTTTGGCGTGTGCGCCGCTGATGAAGTGGGGGGGGGTTCAGTAATTGCCTCTCTTCTTCTGTGGGGTTCGTGTCTGCCGCATACAACATGCGCGCGCACGTACACGCACACGTACACGCACGTACACGCACACACGTACACACACACACACACGTACACACGCACACGTACACACACACGCACGCGCGCTCTCTCCAAGCGCAAGACGTACACTGGGAGATCACACGCACCGCACTCGGCACGTTCGCACCTCACGCACGTAACCAAAGACAAAGATCCCCCGTCATAGTCTTAACAGACTGTTGGGGCAAGTGCTGTTGGCGAGCACCTATGAAGGCCGGCACGGCACACGAGGGGGTGGGTGGCCAGCACCACGCCCAGCCGCCTTTGTCTCCCTAGTGGCGATGTTTACACACCGCACCAGGTACACATTTTCTTTGGTTCTTTCGGTAAAGTCACGTAGAATGAGAATAAAATAATAAATTGATAAAATAAAATTCTCACGACGTTTCGGCCACAACACAAGCGGCCTTCATCAGGTGAAGGGACGAGACTGTCTGGAGGACATCTGATGAAGACCGCTTGTGTTGTGGCCGAAACGTCGTGAGAATTATATTGTGTTATTTTATTTTATCAATTTATTATTTTATTCTCACTCTACGTGACTTTACCGAAAGAACCAAAGAAGATGAATCCTTGCAGTCACGAAAGCTTTAAATCAGGTACACATTGTTTAGGCTGAGTCCACCTAGGGGAGGCCTAGGCCCAGTTCATATAACCGTCACTGGTGGTGTTGGCCGTGAGCGGGAATCGAACTTGGGTCACCGGGTTCGTAGGGCAGCGCATATACACAATCACGTTGCCATGCAACAAAAACACACCAATGTACTCACATGAACGCACGCACACGACGCATGCACACACACTCGCACACACGTACACACACTCGCAACAGAGACAAAGATCTCCCGTATAGTCTGTAACAGACTGTTGGGGCAAGCGCTGTTAGCAAGCACCTATGAAGGTCGGCACGGCGCACGAGGGGGTGGGTGGCCAGCACCACGCCCGGCCGTCTTTGTCTCCCCAGTTGCGATGGTTACAGAGCGCACCGGGTACTCATTTGAGGCTGAGTCGACCTAGGAGACGCCCAGGACCGTTTCGGTTCATCGTCACCGGTGTTGGCCGTGAGCGAGAATCGAACTCTGGTCGCTGGGTTCGTAGGGCAGCGTACCGCTAACCACTGCACTACCACTCCACACTCGCAACCTGCATGCACGCACGCACACACACCACACACGCACACACACAACCCACACACACATGCGCCTCCACCCCTTAGCAGCATGCGTTTGTACAAAAGAGAGCCCCCATGCAAGGCTCATGTCACTAAACGGTGGGGTCGAGTGGGGGGTGGCGGAGGTGAATATCGGGGGGGGGGGGGAGCAGGTTTTGGGAGTTTGTGAAGATGCAGGTGGAGTGTGTGGTCCGTGTGTGTGGTGTACACGTGTGCAGTATGGTGTAGGGGTGTGCATGCAGTGTGGTGTAGGGGTGTGTGTACACACGCCTGTGTGTGTGCAGTGTGGTGTAGGGGTGTGTGTGTATACACGGCTGTGTGTGTGCAGTGTGGTGTAGGGGTGTGTGTACACACGCCTGTGTGTGTGCAGTGTGGTGTAGGGGTGTGTGTACACACGCCTGTGTGTGTGTGCAGTGTGGTGTAGGGGTGTGTGTGTATACACGCCTGTGTGTGTGCAGTGTGGTGTAGGGGTGTGTGTACACACGCCTGTGTGAGTGCAGTGTGGTGTAGGGGTGTGTGTATACACGCCTGTGTGTGTGTGCAGTGTGGTGAAGGGGTGTGTGTACACACGCCTGTGTGTGTGCAGTGTGGTGTAGGGGTGTGTGTACACATGGCTGTGTGAGTGCAGTGTGGTGTAGGGGTGTGTGTACACACGCCTGTGTGTGTGTGCAGTGTGGTGTAGGGGTGTGTGTACACACGCCTGTGTGTGTGCAGTGTGGTGTAGGGGTGTGTGTACACACGCCTGTGTGTGTGTGCAGTGTGGTGTAGGGGTGTGTGTACACACGCCTGTGTGTGTGTGCAGTGTGGTGTAGGGGTGTGTGTACACACGCCTGTGTGTGTGTGCAGTGTGGTGTAGGGGTGTGTGTACACATGGCTGTGTGAGTGCAGTGTGGTGTAGGGGTGTGTGTACACACGCCTGTGTGTGTGTGCAGTGTGGTGTAGGGGGGTGTGTACACACGCCTGTGTGTGTGTGCAGTGTGGTGTAGGGGGGTGTGTACACACGCCTGTGTGTGTGTGCAGTGTGGTGAAGGGGTGTGTTTACACACGCCTGTGTGTGTGCAGTGTGGTGTAGGGGTGTGTGTACACACGCCTGTGTGTGTGCAGTGTGGTGTAGGGGTGTGTGTACACACGCCTGTGTGTGTGCAGTGTGGTGCAGGGGTGTGTGTACACACGCCTGTGTGTGTGTGCAGTGTGGTGTAGGGGTGTGTGTACACATGGCTGTGTGAGTACAGTGTGGTATAGGGGTGTGTGTACACATGGCTGTGTGTGTGCGTTGTGGTGTAGGGGTGTGTGTACACACGCCTGTGTGAGTGCAGTGTGGTGTAGGGGTGTGTGTACACACGCCTGTGTGTGTGCAGTGTGGTGTAGGGGTGTGTGTACACACGCCTGTGTGAGTGCAGTGTGGTGTAGGGGTGTGTGTACACACGCCTGTGTGAGTGCAGTGTGGTGTAGGGGTGTGTGTACACACGCCTGTGTGAGTGCAGTGTGGTGTAGGGGTGTGTGTACACACGCCTGTGTGTGTGCAGTGTGGTGTAGGGGTGTGTGTACACACGCCTGTGTGTGCAGTGTGGTGTAGGGGTGTGTGTACACACGCCTGTGTGTGTGCAGTGTGGTGTAGGGGTGTGTGTACACACGCCTGTGTGTGTGCAGTGTGGTGTAGGGGTGTGTGTACACACGCCTGTGTGTGTGCAGTGTGGTGTAGGGGTGTGTGTACACATGGCTGTGTGTGTGCAGTGTGGTGTAGGGGTGTGTGTACACATGGCTGTGTGAGTGCAGTGTGGTATAGGGGTGTGTGTACACATGGCTGTGTGAGTACAGTGTGGTGTAGGGGTGTGTGTACACACGCCTGTGTGTGTGCAGTGTGGTGTAGGGGTGTGTGTACACACGCCTGTGTGGGTACAGTGTCCGGTAAAAACAAGCCCCTACCTCCTGGGTGGTGCTGGACGGTGCCGCTGTGCTGGATGTGAGCAATGCCACGAAGGGATGAGCCGATTGAATCGGCTTCATGTCGCTTGTAGCCACCACAGCAGCCAACGGGGGCTCTGGACGGGGGCGAGGGGCTGGAAACCCATCACACTTTCAATTTAATTACCAAAAAAACACTATAAATATTTAACTAAGCTTGTGCCGGAGGCCCCGGGGGGGGGCAGGTTCCTGGCCAAACCCCATTTTGGCGGAGCCAGGAGACTGAATCATTAGTCTCGAGGTTCCTCCAGAAACGGCAAAAAGCCAACGCCGGTGGCCACGTGGAATGTTCGAGCGCTCGCTGCGGAGGAGAGAGGCTGCCGCTCCTCTGTCGGGAGCTGGACCGTTACCGCCTGAATATCTGCGGTATTCGGGGGGGCCCGGTGGCTATGCATGCATCGTGTTGTTGAGCTGTTAGGATGCTTTGTGTGTTCGACGTGTTTGTGTTGCAATGTTTCTGCCCTGTTTGTGCCGTTATCTTAATTGGCCGGGATTGACCTTTGAACCCAGTGGACGCCGGTGTTCAATTCTTGTTATCAACCAACATCGGTGACCACTATCTGAACTGGTCCTGGGCGTCCTCGCGGTTGACTTGGCCGTGAACGAACATGAAGTACAACCTCGTAAAACGTCCGCACCGGGGGAAGGTGAAGGCGGCCGGGCGCGATGCTGGCCACAGCACGCCCTCCTGCACCACGCCGGCCTTCGTGGGCTTTCGTTCGCTAACAGCACTTGACATCGGCGTTGCGACGACTGCTCGGGATGTCGCAGGCAGAGGAAGGTGCTGCTGCTGCTGCGGTGGCTAAGAGATGTTATCCGGCTCGCCTGCTATGCAGGAGGGCCGTGGGTTCGATCTCGACCCTGACGCCTGCTGTGTATTTTGAGTTTTGCGTGTCTCTCTCCCCGTGGCGGCGTGGATTTTTCTCCGGGTCCTCTGGTTCCCCCCCCCCCCCCCACATTTAGAATCAACGTGCGTTTAGATGATTGGGCTGCTAAAAATGCCAACGTGAGAAAGCCGCCACTCCGTTGAGCTACCATTTGTGTGGCCGGGCCGCTTCTGAAAAAAAGCTGTAGAGGTCGTGTGGAAATTGATGGCAGCCAAAGACTCTGAACGCGTGTTTCCTAAACGTGGAGGGGACAAACTGAAGTCCTCCGAAAAATCCACGCGACTCGAAATGTACAGCGGCAGGCGTCAGGATCGGGATCGAACCTACAACCTCCTGTATAGCAAGCGAGGTAGTTAACATCTCACCGCCGTGGCACCCCTAACCGGAGCGGCCACGGAGCTCGAACCGCAAACGATCTGCAGCAAGCGGTGGCCGTGTCACCAGCAGCAGGGTGTTAAAGGACCCCCTGTGGGGTCTTTGTGTCTGCACAGAGGATTAAGACCGCGATCCTGGAGGCGCTGGACAAGCCGAACTCCAAAACCGCAGACGAGGCTACGCGGAGATCCGTCAAAGGTCGCGCACGCACACACGCGCTCGCACGCACGTGCACACACGCGCACACACACGCACGTGCACACACGCGCAAACACGCGCACACGCGCAAGCAAACACGCGCACACACGCGCACACGCGGGCGTGCACAAGCACAATCGTATCCCAATCCCCACGTCACTTCGGACAGCACGAGGCTCGAGCGGGTCGGCTCGTAAAGAGCGAGCGTGAAGCGGCCACGCGGTGGAGAGCGGCCCGCAGGGGGAGATGGCTGCGAGCGATACTCCGTGTCCGCACGCTCGGGCGTGGAAGCGTTCCCCTTCCTCCCCGCCTGGCCACGGAGGGTGACCGCTCATTGCACGCGAGTGGGGGTTTTTTTGGGGGGTAAGATCGCGTTAATATCAAAGCGTCGTTGAACCCGCCACCGCCCGACGCAGCCAAGAACAAAACGTGCCAGTTCGTTCCTGGTGCAGCACGCACCGGGTTGAGTGCTGGAGAGTCAAACCACCACCTTTACAACTCGAGCACGCTGACGTTTCGCCCGCGAATCACAACCAGCGGCCCCATCAGGCGACAGCCAGAGTAGCTCACTGCACGGCCGTGAAGCCACCGTCGTTGGCGCTGGGAGATGCAGCCGAACCGAATCAACGGAGACGCAGCGAGGTGAACGCGGTCGGAGTTTGTGTCACGGAGTCGATGGGGTGGCCGTGGTGAGACCATCGAGAGGTTGCACTTGAACTCTATTCAGTCAGAAGCCAGTCCACACGAGTCGACAGATCTCTGTGTGAGCCTACGGGTCTCTGTGTGAGTCTACGGGTCTCTGTGCGAGCCTACGGGTCTCTGTGTGAGTCTACGGGTCTCTGTGTGAGCCTACGGGTCTATGTGAGTACAGGTCTGTTAAGTGAGTCTAGGGGTGTCTGTGTAAGTCTACTAGTCTCTATGCGGGTCTACGGGTCTCTATGCGGGTCTACGGGTCTCTGTGTGAGTCTACAGGTCTCTGTGCGAGTCTACGGGTCTCTGTGTGAGTCAACGGGTCTCTGTGTGAGTCTACGGGTCTCTGTGTGAGTCTACGGGTCTCTGTGCGAGTCTACGGGTCTCTATGTGAGTCTACGGGTCTCTGTGCGAGTCTACGGGTCTCTGTGCGAGTCTACGGGTCTACGCGAGTACAGCTCTCAGCGAGTCTGCAGATGTCGGCGTGAGCCTGGCCCTAGGACAACAGTGCAATCGCTGTTGGCGGGCGGCTGATGAGCCCCGAGCAAGCGGGGCCCACGGACCCCAGCAGGGCCCACGGATCCCAGCAGGGCCCACGGACCCCAGCAGGGCCCACGGACCCCAGCAGGGCCCACGGACCCCAGCAGGGCCCACGGACCCCAGCAGGGCCCACGGACCCCAGCAGGGCCCACGGACCCCAGCAGGGCCCACGGACCCCAGCAGGGCCCACGGACCCCAGCAGGGCCCACGGACCCCAGCAGGGCCCACGGACCCCAGCAGGGCCCACGGCTCATCATCCCTCGCTCATGCGCAGCCCCACCGGTGTGGGCGCGAGCTTCTCGGGCGCCGTGCTAGCGCCCTCTCGCGGTGCCGGTGGGGCACAGCCGCTCCGCGAGGAACACGACGCGTCCCTCGCCGAGACCCACCACCGCGTGGCCTCTGAATGAAACAATAGGCGACGTTTTGGAAAAAAATGGCCCTTTGTGCGGGGGGGGGGGGGGGCATGTTACACGGGGAAAGGCGGGACTGAAGGCATCTGCCTCGTCCACCGGGATGTTGGCGAATGCGGTGGCAAGCTTTCAACAGCACATTCTTCTGTGGTCGTGTGTGTGGTGCGTGTGTGGGTGTGTGTGTGGGGAGCGGTGGTGCAGCGGTTAGCGCTGCGCTACGAACCCGGCGACCCGGGTTCGATTCCCGCGCACGGCCAAACACCACCAGTGACGATTATCTGAAACCGGCGCTGGGCCTCCCCTAGGTCGACTCGGCCTCAAATGAGTACCTGGTGCGGTGTGTCAACATCGTCGCTGGGGAGAGAAAGGCGGCCGGGCGCGGTGCTGGCCAGCCACCCCCTCGCGTGCCGTGCCGGCCCTCATAGGTGCTGCTCGCTAACAGCACTTGCCCCAACAGTCTGTTAAGGCTACACGGGGGATCTTTGTCTTTGTGCGTCGTGTCCAGTAATAACAGGCCACTACCTCGTCGGTCGTATGGGACCGTGACGCTGTGGTAGGTGTGAGCAATGCCATTGGGGAGCGGCCAATTGAAATCGGTGCTCGTAGCCACCAACAGCCGCCAATGGGGGGGGGGGGGGCTCTGGACGGCTGCGAGGGGCTGGTAACAGGTGTCTATGACGTCTCCTGGCCAAACCCATTTTGGCGGAGCCAGGAGGCTGAACCCGTCACCTCGGGATTCCCCCAGAAACGTAAGAAAGCCACCGCGAGTGGCCACGTGCGTGGGAGCGTGGCGGTGAGGTGTAGGAAGCTGTAGGCCCCGGGCTAATGTGAGCTCTCTTCCTCATCAATGGGAGGCGAGGAATGTTGGTGGTCGTTGATTCCGCCCCAACTGAAGGTGAACATCCGTGGAGGGATGCAGGCAAAGCCGATGAGTCGGATGCCTTCTATGACCTCCTGTCAGAGGTGCTGGCTAAAGTGGCCCCTCGGCATAGAGTCATCTTGTTGGGTGACTTTAATTCCCGAGCGGGTCACGACGCTGGCACCTGGTCTGGAGTGATTGGAAGGCATGGGCCAGATCAGCTCAATAACAACGGTAGGAGGCTGCTATATTTTTGTGCAGCCCATGCTGTTCCGGCAACTGTGCATCCACACAACATCATGGATGCATACCATGAGCAAGCAAGAACATCTGCTGGACTACATAGTGACGGAACAGCAGATGCGGGCCCATGTCCTTGACATCAGGATCAACTGTGGAGCTGATCTTCCCAATGATCATCGACTTACCATCTGTAAGATGCGCCTGCCATTCTTCCACTCGTGTGGTGAGTGTCCATCTAGGAACCCATTCAAACCCACAGTGGCCTGGTCTCAGCTAGCTGATGAAAGTTTGCAAGCGAGAATATCTGTGTCGCTTGGAGCTGGGGTTGACATCGCCCCCCCCCTCATCCTGATGCTGAGCGGAAATGGGCGAGGTTTAGGACTGTGGCTCATGCAGCTGCAATGGCTGCTTTGGGTCCACGGTCCAGACCTCCCCAGAGACCCTGGCTGACAGAGGAGGTTTTCTAGCTGGCTGAGAAAAAGCGACAGGCCCACTGTCACCGGCTACAGCATCCCACGTCAGGAGGCTTACCGCAGCCTTCGCTCGGAGGTTCGGAGAGCCGTACGGCGCTGCAAGAATGGGTGGTGGTCGCGGGTTGCTGAGGAGATGGAATCTTCCTCAGTAGCCTGCGATCACAAATCATTCTTTAATTTCATCAAAAGTTACTTGCAGTGTCACATCTATCACCACACTTATGGAAAAGAAAGGTGATCTGACCTCCAACCCCCAGGAACAGATTTGCTGAGCATTTCTGTGAAGTCCTGGGGGAGGGGAAATCCCTCAGCCCAAAAAACATCATGGGGCAAAGTGGGGAGGACCTTGCTGAGGCTGCGGTGCCTCAAATATTGGAAAAAGTCACCCCCTGTGAGTGGCTGGCTGAGGTACCATCTGTTGAGGAAGTACTGAGGGCGATCCGGAGTCTGAGACCAGGAAAGGCAGCGGGCAGAGATGATCTCCCAAGCGAAATGCTGAGGGAGGGTGGCGTTTGTGCACAGACTCCCTACATGACATCATAACAACAGTCTGGACCACTGGAACGGGTTCCGCAGGATTGGAAGGATGCCCTGGTGGGGTCCCCCTCTTGAAGAAGGGGGACCGCACAGACTGTAACAACTACAGGGGCATCTCACTCCTCAGTGTGCCGGGAAAGGTACCTGCTTGTGTGTCTCTCATGTGTGCGTGGTGGTGGTGCTGGTGGTGGTGCAGGCTACGGGCTGCACGCCCTGCGGTTGAACGCCGTCGACCGCGTGTTCGGTGGGGAGCTCATCAACATCATCACGTGCCACAAGTGCGGGACGGTGAGGTCTCCTCGTCACATCGCCACGTCACGGCACACCGTCACATCGCCGCCGCAGCGCATCGCCGATCGCCGCGGCGACGTCACGTGACGAGCACCATCGCGCTCCGCGCCGTCCCACCGGCACGACGCGGCGGGTGACGAGGCGGTGTGTCTCCGCAGATTGTACGGGTCGCGGAGCCCTTCCTGGACCTCTCCCTGCCCGTCATCGACAACACGGTGCCTCGCCTCCTCGTCACCTCTTCCTCGCCACACCCTCGCCTTAGCTCCCCCTCACCTCCTCTTCCGCACCTCCTCACCTCCGCCACACCTCCCCCTCGCCACCTCCGCACCTCAGTTTTAGACACCCTGTGCGGTACACGTCATGGTCGTCGTCGTCGTCGTTGTTGCGATGCTGGTGGTGGGTTTCTCTGCCCACCCTGCACACGCTCGCTCGCAAACAGACAAAGACAAAGATTCCCGAGTAGCCTACGCAGTCTCTTGGGGAAAGTGCTGTTGGCGAGTGCCTACGAAGCCCGACATGGTTTTAGACCGCTGTTTGCCAAGCGATGATTTCTCCACACCACACCACGTGCTCGCTCTAGGCCGAGTCAGCCAAGGGGAAAGTCGCCATGGTCGGTTCGGATAACTTCCAGTGATGTTGGCCGTGCGTGCGAATCGAACTCTGATCGCCGGGTTCGCTGCGCGGGGTGCAGTGGCTAACCACCGTGCCACCGCTCCCCGCGTGCACTTGCGTGGAATAGCGCGCGCAAGCTCGCACACACCGGGCACACTCGCTTGCTAGCGCTCACTTTGACCGCGCGTGCGTCCGCCCAGGCGAGCCGGCCGACCAGCAGGAAGGCCCGGGCCGTGGAGGCGGAGGTGGAGGAGAGGGGAGGGCGTGAAAGGGAGGAGGACGAGGTCACGGGGTCACGGAGGAGGGGACCCTCCCCCACTCTTCCCCCGGCCCCCCAGAGCAAGTTCCAAGAGAAGAAGGCGAAGAAACAGGCGCGGCAGCAAGCCAAGGTGACATGGTTGGCGGGGGGGGAGGGCGCAGTGGTTGAGAGACGGTGAGGGTGGTTATGGGTGCTCGTCGTGAGAGGACAAGCACCACGCCACGGACGTCGAGGGGGTAGCGCAGCATTGTGGGTGGCAGAGTGCATTGTGGGCCCGACGCTGACACGATGTTGCGGCGCGAGTGGCACGGATGTCGCAACGCATCCGCACCCCGTGCCGTCGTTCCGTGCCATCGTTTCTGCATCCTTTTGCTGTGTCCTCACTCAGCGTTGTGTGCGTGCGTGCGTGCGTGCTTGTGTGTGCGTGCGTGCGTGCGTGTGTCGCTCTCAGTCGATGCGGCGCCAGCAGAAGCACCAGCGGAAGCTGTTCCCCATGGGAGCCGAGACTCCGAGTGGGGATCCTGACCCCTCGACCACCGACGCGACCGTCGCCAGCAACATCACGCAAGAGGACGAAAATGATGTTCGTGTAGACAACGAGGGTGCTGCTGCTGATGCTGCTGCTACTGCTGACGATCATGATGATGATGATGATGCTGCTGCTGATGATGGCGATCATGATGATGATGATGCTGCTGATGATGATGCTGCTGCTGCTGATGAAGATGCCGCTGTTGTGGAAGCGCCGCACCTCGCGGACTCGCAACGGACTCGCCGCACGGTCGACTCGGGGCGTCCCGGGCACGAGCCGCCTGGGGTCACGACCCGATCTTCCGTGAGCGCAGTCACGGGGCAACTCGGCAACCTGCAGCTCCACGACGAGCACGGGGGGCAGGCGGGCGAGGCGCGGGAGGAGGACGGCGACGATGGGTACGGAGAAAAGGTGAAGAGGGAGGTGACGGGGAGGCTACGAGGAGCGGGAGATGACGTCGGTGGGAGTGATTGTGGACCGGCAGCGTCGCCGGAAGATGTAAAGATCAGCGTGGATGAGGTAACCAAGGTGGATGAGGAGGAGGAAGAGGAGGATGAGGAGGAGGATGAGGAGGAGCAGGTGAAGAGCTCGTCGAGGGACACGAGGCTGCGGAGACGCAAGGACGAGGCGCTCTCGTTTGGCAGCGACGAGGAAAGTGAGGAATACCAAACGCGTGGCAACGCAGACACGGCTCAAACGCAGCCACGCACGGAGTGGGGGGGGTGTGGTGTGGTGGGTGTGGTGTGGTGTGTGGGTGTGGTGTGGTGTGGTGTGTGTGGGTGTGGTGGGTGTGTTGTGTGGGGGTGTGTTGGGTGTGGTGTGGTGGGTGGGTGTGGTGGGTGGGTGTGGTGGGTGTGTGGGTGTGTTGTGTGGGGGTGTGTTGTGTGGGGGTGTGTTGTGTGGGGGTGTGTTGTGTGGGGGTGTGTTGTGTGGGGGTGTGTTGTGTGTGGGTGTGTTGTGTGTGGGTGTGGTGTATGTGGTGTGTGTGGGTGTGGTGGGTGTGTTGTGTGGGGGTGTGTTGTGTGTGGGTGTGTGGGTGTGGTGGGTGTGGTGTGTGGGTGTGGGTGTGGTGGGTGGGTGTGGTGGGTGGGTGGGGTGGGTGGGTGGGTGGGTGTGGTGTGGTGGGTGTGGTGTGGTGGGTGGGTGTGGTGTGTGGGTGTGGCGGGTGTGGTGTGTGGGTGTGGCGGGTGTGGTGTGTGGGTGTGGCGGGTGTGGGTGTGGTGTGTGGGTGTGCGTGTGGTGGGTGGGTGTGGGTGTGGTGGGTGTGTGTGGGTGTGGTGTGGTGGGTGTGGTGTGTGAGTGTGGTGTGTGAGTGTGGTGTGTGTGAGTATGGTGCGTGTGGTGTGTAATGTGTGCAGTCCGTGGCGCGTTGGCTTAGCGGTGAGCGCGCCGTTACTTGAGCACCGCTCCATTACCGTGTTCCTCCAGCACCACAGTCACCGCGTTCCCCCGTTGCTCAAGCCCCAGTCTCTTAGCCGAGCACACCCCAGAGTCGCCGCAGCATCCCTGGCGTCTTTGTCCACCCACGCAGCGCGCATCGAGGCGGTGGCGCCAGGCGGCCCGGTGCAGACGCTGGCGGAGCCTCCCCTCGTCCCGCCCGACCCCGGCTCGCTCCTCGGCTGCCTGCTGCGATTCACAGCCCCGGAGCAACTGACTGGGAGCAACAAGCTCCTGTGTGAGCACTGCTCACTGAGAGGTGGTCGCTGCTGCTCACTCTCACCGCTCGTGCTCACTACTTGTACACACACACACACACCTCACCACTAACACACATTACTTACACACTTGTCACACTCTATACGTTTACACACACACCTCACCACTTACACACACTACTTAAACTCACTACGCTTACACACACACACCTCACCACTTACACACTACTTACTCACACTCACTACGCTTACACACACACCTCACCACTAACACACACTACTCACTCACTACTCACACTCACTACGCTTACACACACACACACCTCACCACTTACACACACTACTTACTCACACTCACTACGCTTACACACACACACCTCACCACTTACACACTACTTACACTCACTATACTCACACTCACTACACTTACACACACCTCACCACTTACACACACTACTTACTCACACTCACTACGCTTACACACACACACACCTCACCACTTACACACTACTTACTCACACTCACTATACTCACACTCACTACGCTTACACACACACACACATCAACACTTACACACGCTACTTACTCACACTCACTACGCTTACACACACACACCTAACCACTAACACACACTACTCACTACTCACACTCACTACGCTTACACACACATCAACACTTACACACGCTGCTTACTCACACTCACTATGCTTACACACACACACCTTACCACTTACACACACTACTCACTCACTACTCATTATACTCACACTCACTATACTCACTGCTTAAACTCACACGCAATTAAATTCACGCATCACTCGCACTCACATCACTGCTTACACGCATGCGTATTAACTACTCACTCCTGCTCATTACACTCACCACTCACGACTCACCGTCACTACTCACCATCACTACTCACACCGACTGCTCACACTCACTGACACTCAATCCCCTTGACGTGATTGACTCGGAGACACTTAAGAGTTGGAGGCACTCGGTGTATTTAACACGGCCTAACAAGTTAACACTTCCCATAACTCGTCTTTAATGGACTACGGTGCCCAGTCAGGACAGCCGCTAGACTGCCTGACTGGCGACACTGAGACGGTGAAGACGGATACGACGGTGAAGACTCCGGCAGCAGCAGCATGACTGTGACCCACCCCCCACTCCACACGACAGCCCCGAGGTGCCCTCCCGGGGCCCCTCTTATAGTGTCGGCGTGGCCTGGCTCCGCCCACTGCCACGCCCCCTTTCTGGAACCTCCCCCCCGGGTTCCTCGTGTGCCCCTTCCGTGACCTTTCCCCCCAGACCCTCCTCTGGTCTACCAGGTGGCCTGCTGACGGTCAGGGCTGCTGTGAGCTGCAGATTCCCTCCCCCGCCGGCAGGCAGCGCTATGCTGCTACGTGACCCATTCTGTGTCAGTACACTCTTAGTACAGTTACTCCTGCCTGCCTGCTGCTGGTGAGCAGCAGCAGGCAGGAAGGGTGAGGGTGGTGAGTGTGTGTGTGGTGGTGAGTAGCAGGTAGGAAGGTGAGCGTGGTGAGTGTGTGTGTGGTGGTGGTGAGCAGCAGGCAGGAAGGGTGAGGGTTGTGAGTGTGTGTGTGTGGTGAGGAACAGGCAGGAAGGGTGAGCGTGGTGAGTGTGTGCAGTGGTGGTGTGCAGAAGGCAGGAAGGCGATCGTGGTGAGTGTGTGTGGTGGTGGTGGTGAGCAGAAGGCAGGAAGGTGAGGGTGTACACAGAGGGGACCAAGCGGATCCTGGTCTCGTCACTGCCTCCCGTGCTCACCCTGCACCTCAAGCGCTTCCAGCAGGTGAGGGTGAGGCGGAGGGGTGGGGTTGTAGTGGCGATGATGGTTGTTGGTGTGATGGCGGCGGTGGTGGTGGTGATGGTGGTGTTGATGATGGCTTTGGTGGTGATGGTGGTTGTGGAAGTAACAATGGCTGTAGTTGTGGTGGTGATCGTGGCGGTGATGATGATGGTTGTGACCATCCTGCACAGACATTCTCTGCCTGAGAAGAGGTCACGGGACAGACCCAACAGGATCTACGTCCCTGCTTTAGTGACCTGGTCTCAAGCCCCATGACACCATCAATAGGCCAAGGCTCAGCCTAGGTTCTTTGTGCTTTGCGGGACCCTGACTCTGCTCACAATCATGATGGCGGGCAGGCCTGGGCAAAGCTGCGTGGCCAGGAGTTAGAACCATTCCCTGTTCACCTCGGGGTGTGATGTGTTCTGGCCCGTACACTATTTTACATCTTCTATGACGATGTAGTTTGAGAAGCTCTCCATGGCTTCACCAGAGGAATTTTCGTCTGATACATATACCATGGGAGGCTGATCGATGCTGGAATGCAGTCAAGGGATGGCTCCCGTATTGGTAAACCATGCCATGTAAGCTGATGATCTGGTAATTGCTGCTCACTCTGAGGAGTTGGTACAGCACACCGGTGTGTTGGAGAGTAAACCCACTACGTTTACAATTTGATTACCGTGACATTTTACCGGTATTTACAACAACAACAACAACCAGCATCATCAGGCGACAGCCAGAGTGGTGGACAAATCTTTCTCTTTCGGTCTTAAATGGAGGGATAAATGTGATGTCGCACTTGTGAGCCAATCTGGTGGGAAGGCCAGAGGCGGGGGGGGTAGGTGTGTTAATGTATGCATTTAAATTACATTCCACATGAGTGATGGGGCCGTTGTGGAGAGAGTGGAGAAGCTGCCATATCTGAGCAGTGTGCTTATGACCGGATCCGGTTTGGCACTTTGAATAATTAGAGTGACAGCTTTTCATAGTGTGGAAGCTGCCTGGCCTGTCGCCCCCTCCTGTACACTTGCGAAACATGGGAGCTCTTTGAGGGAACATCTGCACCGGTTTGAAACATTCAGTCCGGCCTGCCTACGATCCATCCTGGGTTAACTTGACTGGTTTATTGTGAGGATTCTCACAGATCCTTGAAAGATCTGAGCACAGTCCAATCATGGAGCTACTGCGGCAGGCGAGGCTGCGTTGGCTCGGTCACGTGGCCCGCATGCCCAGCCACCGCGTGCCCAAGCAGCTTCTGTTTGGCCCGGTAGAGGGGGGCTAAACGGGCACGGTGGGAGGCAGTCGCCCTCCGGCAACATCGGAGGGCAGAGGAGGGGATGCTCACGACAACGAGCGAAGCGCCGGGCGACCAAAACGCAGGAAGGTGGCAACATTGGTGAGCACCGGTGGTGCATCGGCCAGTCATCTCGGTCACCCCATAGTACAGGTAGTCCCCGACTTATATACACAGGTAGTCCCCGACGTACGACGGAGATGCGTTACAACGACCCCATCGTAAGTCGAAAATATCGTAAGTCGAAGATGGCCTAGCCTACCCAGGAGTCTTAAAGAATGGTGATAATTTAGCAAAACAGAGCAATTTACGGTACCGTACTGTATAGACTATATACTGTGTGTATTTATTCATTACAATACTGTATTGCACCGTAAAATGTAAAGTAAAAAAACAAGGTAAATTCTTAGCCTACCTATATGAACTGCAATTTCGTAGAAAGTTTTTTTTCAGGAAACAATCCTATCTACTATAAAACAAACTTTTAACGTGCATTGAACGTAACCCTAACATGAAATCGCTAAAGCTACGTATCATACATGCATTGAACGTATGGTAACGTATCATATTCCAGATTCTGTCCGTCGTCTGCATACTTGAACGATGTCAGGTTGTTGATGGCTACATTAACTTAGTTGTCGGAAGAGGAGGATGGCGATGATCAAGTTACAGTATCGTACCTTGCAGTACGCTGCTGCGTTTGCCTGCCGTGCGAAATTAAAAAAATATTCTACAATTTTGTCGTATCGCCATCGTAAGGTCGGAATATCGTAAGTTGGGGACCATCGTAAGTCGGGGACCGCCGTAAGTCGGGGACCGCCGTAAGTCGGGGACTACCTGCACCTGGGTCTGTCCCCCCCCCCCGTGACCTCTTCTCAGCGAGCCTTCCACACTCTAAGTGACCTCAGGGTGCACCTAGCCTGACACAGTTGCCATGGTGATTTCACCGCCATGTGTTGTTGGTGGTTGTGATGTTGGTTGTGGTTGTGCCAGGCTGGATTCGGGCTACAGAAGGTGAACAGACGCGTGGAGTTCCCAGACACGCTGAATGTGGCACCTTTCTGCATCGACACCTGCCAGGTGAGCACACGCTCGCAAACAAAGACAAAGATCCCCCGTGTAGCCTGAACAGACTGGCGGGGCAAGTGCTGTTAGCGAGCAGCACCTATGAAGGCCGGCGCTGTGGCACTCGAGGGGGTGGGTGACCAGCACCACGCCCGGCAGCCTTTCTCTCCCCGTAGTGGCGATGTTTACCCACCGCACCAGGTACTCATTTGAGGCTGAGTCGACCTAGGGGAGGCACGCTCGCACACACGTCCACACAACAACAACAACCGCCGTTCACCACTAAGTGGCGGTGACACCACCACGGCACTTGTCCCAGGCTGTGTGTACTTTAAGGCCACGCAAAGACAAAGATCCCCCGTGTAGCCTTAACAGACTGTAGGGGCAAGTGCTGTTAGCGAGCACCTGTGAAGGCCGGCACGGCACACGGAGGGGTGGGTGGCCAGCACCATGCCCGGCCGCCTTTGTCTCTCCAGTGGCGATGTTTACACACCGCACCGGGTACTCATTTCAAGCTGAATCTACCTAGGGGAGGCCCAGGACAGATTCAGATCACTGTCACTGCTGTTGGTCACGAGCAGGAGTCAAACTCGGGTTGCTGGATTAGGAGTGCGGCGAGCTAACCACTGCGCCACCGCTCTTCCACACACACATGACCCTCTCTTGCCAGAGGAGCTCACCCATGTGCCCAGATATTTCAAGGATTTGTGAGCCCCCTCACACAATCCGGTCTGGTTAAACCCAGGTTCTTCACGGCCAACACAGGTGACGATTATCTGAACCTGTCCTGGGCCTCCCCTAGGTCGACTCAGCCTCAAATGAGTACCTGGTGCGGTGTGTACCCATCCCTCGTGTGGCGTGCCGGCCTACACAGGTGCTGCTCGCTAACAGCACTTGCCCCGACAGTCCGTTCCTGCAAAGACCAGACGGGGTGTTTGTGTGCGTGTGGAGGCTGCGTGTGGGCGAGCAGGCCCGCGGGGGAGGGACGAGGAGTACTCGCTCTACGGGGTGGTGGAGCACAGCGGCACGATGCGCGGAGGCCACTACACGGCCTACGTCAAGACGCGGCCCGAGCGGCCGGAGCGGCCGGAGCGGCCCGAGCAGCCTGGGGAGAGCGACGGCTCCGGTGAGCGGACGACGGCTCGAGAAATGACGCGTAAAGCGTGGTCAGACGTGCCACCACACATCGCCACACCACACATCGCCACACCACACATCGCCACACCACACACCGCCCCGCCACACATCACCACACCACACATCGCCACACCACACATCGCCACACCACACATCACTACACCACACATCGCCACATCACCACACCACACACCGCCACACCACACATCACCACACCACACATCGCCACACCACACATCGCCACACCACACATCGCCACACCACACATCGCCACGCCACACACTGCCACACCACACATCGCCACACCACACATCGCCACGCCACACACTGCCACACCACACATCGCCACACCACACACCGCAACACCACACATCGCCACACCACACACCGCAACACCACACATCGCCACACCGCACATCACACCGCACATCACACCGCACGCATCACGTCACGCCCCACACACGTCACACATCACACCACACAACACATTGCAATTTGCGCCACACGTAACACCACGCACCACATGTCACACCACACGTCACACCACGCATCAGACCACACGTCACACCTCGTGTCACGCTACACCGCACGTCAAGCCACACGTCACCACAGGTGTGGCTTGACGTCTGGTGTGACGTGACCTGTGGTGTGACGTGACCTGTGGTGTGACGTGACCTGTGGTGTGATGTACCGTGGTGTGACGTGACGCATGGTGTGACGTGACGCATGGTGTGACGTGACCTGCGGTGTGACGTGACCTGCGGTGTGACGTGACCTGTGGTGTGACGTGACGCGTGGTGTGACGTGCCGTGGTGTGACGTGCCGTGGTGTGACGTGACGCGTGGTGTGACGTGTGACCTGCGGTGTTACGTGACCTGTGGTGTGACGTGTGACCTGCGGTGTGACGTGACCTGTGGTGTGACATGACGCGTGGTGTGACGTGACGCGTGGTGTGACGTGTGACCTGCGGTGTGACGTGACCTGCGGTGTGACGTGACGCGTGGTGTGACCTGTGGTGTGACGTGACCTGTGGTGTGACGTGACGCGTGGTGTGACGGGACGCGTGGTGTGACGTGACCTGTGGTGTGACGTGTGACCTGCGGTGTGACGTGACGCGTGGTGTGACGTGACCTGTGGTGTGACGTGACGCGTGGTGTGACGTGTGACCTGGGGTGTTACGTGTGACCTGCGGTGTGACATGACGCGTGGTGTGACGTGACGCGTGGTGTGACGTGACCTGCGGTGTGACGTCTGACCCGCGGTGTGACGTGCCACGTGGTGTTGTGCCATTCCAGGCCGGCAGCAGGAGGGGGCGTGGTTCTACGTGAGCGACTCCCACGTGCGCACCGCCTCCCTGGACCAGGTGCTGGCGTGCCAGGCCTACCTGCTCTTCTACGAGCGGGCGAGCGTGTGAGCCCCAGAGGCTCGGCAAGCCGCACGTGCACAGCACGCCCGACTCCGTCCGTCCGTCCGTGCATTTTTACCGAATGCGGGTCTGTTCATCCGTTGGTCCGTGCTTTGTAATTCTGTCCCGACAGTCCATCTCTCTGTCAGTCTGTCCATCCATTTACCGGACAGTCTGTCCTTAAGTCAGCGCTGTCCATGCATCCGTACATCCGTCTGTGTTATGGTTCCGCGCCTCTCAGTCACTCCGTTGATTCATCTGCCGGTGTCTTCATCCGCCCGTCTTGTATGCACGGCCGTCTGTCGGGCCAGTGGTGACCGGCGTTCGCCAACTCGCCCTCTCGTCTACCAGTTAAGTTCACTCGCTTAACTCGCCCACGGACAGAAAACCAAATGACGTTTGACCCATTGACCCATGTGAAACGAACGTGACTGTGTACGGGGGTCACGACCCTGTCCCCTGGCAGGTCAGAGTCACTCATTCGCACCCGTCCTGCAACAGTGACGATTATGAACGGTGACCACGGCCGATAGTGATGGGCCATAAAACGGGGCAAGGCCCACATCGCGAGTATATGATGTATTTGTACGTCTTTTTAAACCGAGTTTTACGAGTTATTATGATCCTGGGCATCTCTCGCAATCACTGGATGGATTCAAACAAAATAAAGATAATTTTGATGATCGTGCCCCCCCCCCCCCGCGTGTGTATGTGCTTGTTGCCATTGTGTACGTGGTGGTGGTGGTGGTGGCCACGAGTCAATCGCTCGTGCACGCAAATCGGCATGAACACTCCACCGCCGGTGATGTCTTCACTCATTCTGAAAGATGAATGATACGGAGATCCACACTTGCTTCTGAACGGAGTTGGATAACAACAATTTAAGATCACGTCTTTAACCAACATGGACACTCGCTAAACAACCTAACCAATATGGACACTCGCTAAATAACCTAACCAACATGGACACTCACTAAATAACCTGACCAACATGGAGACTCACTAAATAACCTAACCAACATGGACACTCGCTAAATAACCTAACCAATATGGGCACTCGCTAAACAACCTAACCAACATGGACACTCACTAAATAACCTAACCAATATGGGCACTCGCTAAACAACCTAACCAATATGGACACTCGCTAAATAACCTAACCAATATGGACACTCGCTAAATAACCTGACCAACATGGACACTCGCTAAATAACCTGACCAACATGGACACTCGCTAAATAACCTAACCAATATGGACACTCACTAAATAACCTGACCAACATGGACACTCGCTAAATAACCTGACCAACATGGACACTCACTAAATAACCTGACCAACATGGAGACTCACTAAATAACCTGACCAACATGGACACTCGCTAAATAACCTAACCAACATGGACACTCGCTAAATAACCTGACCAACATGGACACTCACTAAATAACCTGACCAACATGGAGACTCACTAAATAACCTAACCAATATGGGCACTCGCTAAACAACCTAACCAACATGGACACTCGCTAAATAACCTAACCAACATGGACACTCGCTAAATAACCTGACCAACATGGACACTCACTAAATAACCTGACCAACATGGAGACTCACTAAATAACCTGACCAACATGGACACTCGCTAAATAACCTGACCAACATGGACACTCGCTAAATCACCTGACCAACATGGACACTCGCTAAATAACCTGACCAACATGGACACTCGCTAAATAACCTGAACATGGACATTCACTAAATAACCTAACCAATATGGACACTCACTAAATAACCTGACCAACATGGACACTCGCTAAATAACCTGACCAACATAGACACTCGCTAAATAACCTGAACATGGACACTCACTAAATAACCTGACCAACATGGAGACTCGCTAAACAACCTAACCAATATGGACACTCGCTAAATAACCTGACCAACATGGACACTCGCTAAATAACCTGACCAACATAGACACTCGCTAAATAACCTGAACATGGACATTCACTAAATAACCTAACCAACATGGACACTCGCTAAATAACCTGACCAACATGGACACTCGCTAAATCACCTGACCAACATGGACACTCACTAAACGACCTAACGAACATGGGACACTCAATGCGAGATCACGTCGCGCGGTCTGGTGAGACTCGGTGAAATGTCGATCTCAAGAGACGTGCCGTTGGATGTTTTTTTGAATGAAGAAAATAAATTGCTCGTTACGGATTTGAATAGCGGGATGGCGTTCCAGATGACGGTGGAGGCTGCTACAGAGAAATGACGAGAAGCAATTACGCTCCTTGTCCTGAAGAGTTTCAAGGGGGGTCCCGCGTTGCGCTGCAAAGGTCTCTACGATTTGTTGAAGTGTGCGAGGCGTCAGCCGGATTTTAGGGTGCAGAAGCAGAGGCAAGCGATCTTGAAGGTACTTCTGGTCGAAATTGGCAGCCAATGAAGAGCACAAAGGATGGACAGGGAGTGCGGGCGAGGGTTACACTTCTAAATCATCTCGGATTGCAAACCCATTTCTTTAGAACTGCTTTTTGTGTTTAGTTTTGTCACCCCCACCCCGCACCTCGGATTAGCGCGGTTGGCTACGTACAGTGCGAAAGAAGTTCAACCATACGTACGAGCGACTGGCGCAGCTACTGGTAACCGACGCTTTGCCACTCATTGGGTTCCAGTGAACTCGGGGTTGCCGGGTTAAGTTTGTAAAAAGAAATGTTTCACTTTCCGTCTATTTAAATACAAGCCCAATAAATGTTTTGCCTGGAGGTTTTACGTGATATGAACATGTCCTGCAAAGCATGAGTATTGAGGCATTCTGGTTACAGCCATGCACATCCAGCGGTGGAAATTCCCCGTTCGTATGACGGGGGCGAGTCTATATCGTAGGCCAACCATCGTTTAAATCCCCACAAAGTGGTGCTTTGACTTTATCAACCTTCACCCCCGGATGGAGAGATGACGGGTTGTCAACTCCAGCACCCCCATCCAGGATTTGAACTCGCGACCTTCCGCGTGCGAACCGCTCGCTCGACCCGCCCCCGAGAGCCACGTGGTTATTCTCAAGGGCTCAGTGCTCCCGTGTGACGTCACTGACGCTCCTCGCAACTCAAATTCTCAGCCCGCTTACTCAAACGGGTCCACGTGGCTGAACAGCCGCTACTCGCATCACACACACACAAAAAACCGAATTCAATATTCAAAAACTGCTCCGTGTACAAAAATGAATTTATTCCAAGCTCCCAGAGAAACCAACACCAATGATATCCAGGGTCGTCCATGGAGGGGGCAGACGGGTGCGAGGCCTGGGGAACCAAAGCGGGGGTCCCGGGCCCCGCTGATAGCTGCAACCCCACCCCCCGAGGGAGGTGTTATCTTTTAAAGACCTTGCAACCGCGCTAATCGGAGGTGTGGGGGGGGGGATAACACAAACTAAACATCTTTGCGGATATTGGCTCTGCCATCTCCCCCCCCAACCCCCCCCCCCCATTTGCAGGGACGACTTCGGAAATAATAAGAGTTTAGAAATTCAGCACCGAGACCCCCCAGGAAATTGCATCGGACAAAAGAACGATTTGAGTCACCCGTCACCATCCTGCCTATTGCACGAGACACCAGAAGCGGGAATCCCCCGGCCCCCCGGCTCGTAGCCGAGCGGTAGCGACGTTGGAGACCCCACAGACTTTCACCGCGGTTTAAGGGCCGCCCGGCTGCCCTAAGAACCGGTGTGCACGGGGCATCTTTTTGCTCAGCCACCGGGCCCTCCGGTTAAATCACTTGACCGAGAGATGGCGACGGCTCGGTGAGACCATCCAGCAGTGGACATTTCGTGGCTGCTGCTGATGATGATGATGATAACCGGCCTTTTGAGAGCACTCCGATTCGCGGCCGCGATGCCCTCGAGTGCGGGGATTGCTCACGTGAGCGAGCGCGGGGTATTGTGGGGCCACACACAACCCGGGACGATGGCCTCCGTTAACACCGCAGCCGTTTACACCGCAGCCGTCTCTTGCAACGTTCTTCGCTAGAGGGGGGGGCGCTTTCGTTGATGAGACGGCATCAGTGTGAGGGCCGCAACACTGCCTGCCAGGGGGTTTATCAGGGGGGGCACGTCAGGGGCCTTGCAGTGAAGAACACCGGTCTGGTGGCAACGTCTGGGTAAGACACATTGCACATTTTGGATGAACCAGGGGTGGGGTAGGGGTGGGGTAGGCGGGGCAGTCATGCCCCATTCATTAATTCGTTTTTACTCTTACTACCAAAAATCAAGCCGATGGAAATTTGCAGAAAACCTGAGGCGTTGGGTTTTCCGCAGTCAGTTTTACGCTTCGTGAAATGGGTTTGTTTTGGGGCGAGGAAAAAAATCATGTTGTTGCTACGGCCTCCCTGCATCTCGTCCCGACGGTGTTTGACGCAGCTTCAAGCAAGACATCGCATTATCCAACCGCTGCTAAAATTGGCCGTGAGAATTACTCGGCCCTTACCGGTGAGCCAACTCCGACAAGGATCGGCGCGCCGTTGAAAGCTTGCACAAGTGCCGATTAAATCTGTTGGAGGGGGGGTCCTTAACGACACCAATTTAAGTCGGATCATTACGCGACCTCACCCAAACATCGATTGCGAATTGACAGAATTATTGATTTTTTTTTATATATATATCGAGGGGGGCAACGACTAGTGCCTCGGGCCTGTGCTGACAAACCAAAAGTGCGTCCGTAGCTCTCGCTCTGCGTCTACGTACGCCCGACGCGAAGGAGCCAACCCCCCCCCAACGGCACCGAGGGGATTGCCGCTCGGCGGGCTGGGGACGGCGGCGGCGAGCTCAGGGGAGAGGTTTCGGTTCCTCCCCAGTGCCGCCGGCCATGCGGTACACGAGCAGCGCCACCTCGTGGCCCAGTCGGTCGGCGTTCTCCTGTTGCACGCACGCACGCACGCGTTACACGCACACACGTTACACACACGCACGCATTGCACGTACACACACGCGTTGCACGTACACACACGCGTTGCACGCACGCACACACGCGTTGCACGCACGCACGCAGCCAGGCACGCGCACACACAGCTACGCTCGCACGCACACAACAATACCGCGCTGCTACGCACAGACACCGTGTGTAATAACTGAATAAATTGTGTACACACCGTGCACCACACACAAAGATACTAGCGAGCACCTATGAAGGCCGGAATGGTACACGAGGGGGTGGGTGGCCAACAACCACGCCCGACCGCCTTTGTCTCCCCAGTGGCGATGTTGACACACCGCACCGGGTACTCATTTGAGGCTGAGTCGACCTAGGGGAGGCCCGGGACCGGTTCAGATAATCGTCACCGGTGTTGGCCGTGAGCGGGAATCGAACCCGGGTCGCCAGGTTCATAGCGCAGCGCGCTGACCGCTACACCACCGCTCCCCACACACCACACACAGACACACACACACACCACACACACCACACACACACACACCACACACACCACACACAACACACACACACCACACACACACACCACACACAACACACACACACCACACACACACACACCACACACACACCACACCCACACACACACCACACACACACCACACACCCCACACACACCACACACACACCACACACACACACCACACACACCACACCTGCGTGTCGGCCTCGGCGTAGACGCGCACGAGGTCCTCGGTGCCGGACGCGCGCACGAACGAGCGGCCGCGAGCGTAGCGCCTCACGTGGGCGTCCACTTCCTGCTGCAGGCCGGGCGGCCGCACGGCCCGTCGCTCCGCGTCCTCCGTCTCGATCACGCGGCGGTCCGACACCTACGCGACGGCGACGGCGACGACGGCAAAAGACAAAGATCCCCCGCGTAGCCTTAACAGACTGTCGGGGCAAGTGCCGTTGGCTAGCAGCGGCGCCCGTGAAGGCCGGCACTGTGGCACACGAGGGGGACGGGTGGCCAGCGCCAAGCCCGGCCGCCTTTGTCTCCCCAGTGCTAGCGATGTTTACTACGCTACGCCGCCCCGGGTACTCGTTTGAGGCCGCCGGGTCGACCCGAGCAGGAGTTGAACTTTGGTCACCAGGTTGATTGGCACAGCGTGCTAACCGTTGCACCACCGCTCCCCTCGTGCGTGCGTGCATGCACACCAAGACGCCCGAATTGCCTCGACAGACTGTAGGGGTTGGCGAGTAGCAGCGCCTACGAAGGCCGGCACGGCAACACGACAGGATGATTGGTTTATCTTTCTCGCACCGTGGTTTCTGTATTTGTCGCCCTCACTGGACACCTGTGGACAAAGAGCTTTCAAGCCCATCAGATTCCTCCGGTCTAAATACATATTCTGATTCTCAGTTGAGTGGGCTTGCGATGGACACCTCCTGCCTCGAAAAGGGACGATGACGACGACGACGATGATGACGACGATGACGATGACGACGATGACGACGACGACTGGCCGATGTGGATGGGGGGAATGGAGGCAACGACTGTAACGTGGAGATACGCCCACCACCACCCCTCTCCTCCGGCCTCCCCGCCCCACCGTGTGTACGTGCGTACGTACGCCACCGCACGCACGCACGCACGCCAATCGCGGCGGTCACGAGCGGTGGGACGTGGGGTGCGAGGCGGCCCGTCACCTTGACTTTGAGCTGGCGGTTGGGCAGGTCCCTGTACATGGAGTCCCACTGCGGCATGGAGAGACCCCGCACCGCCAGGATGGCTTCAATGAGCAGCATGTCCGAGATGGCATCTCCCACCGTCTGCACGCACGCACGCGCACGCACACGCACACGCACGCACATGCGCACGCAAAGATAAAAAAAAAGACAAAGATCCCCCGTATAGCCTTAACAGACTGTAGGGGCAAGTGCTGTTAGCGAGCACCTATGAAGGCCGGTAACGGTACACGAGGGGGTGGGTGGCCAGCACCACGCCCGACCGCCTTTGTGCCTCCAGTGGCAATATTTACACACCGCACAAGGTGCTCATTTTAGGCTGAGTCGACCTAGGGGAGGCCCGGGACCGGTTCAGATAATCGTCACCTGTGTTGGCCGTGAGCGGGAATCGAACCCGGGTCGCCAGGTTCATAGCGCAGCGCGCTAACCGCTATACTATCGCTCCCCACCACACACACTGACACACACACACGTACACACACACACGCACACACACACCTACACACCTACACACACGTACACACACACGCACACGTACACACGCACACACACACGTACACACGTACACACACACACGTACACATGCACACACACGTACACACGTACACACACGCACACACACACCTACACACACGTACACACACGCACACGTACACACGCACACACACACACACACACACGTACACACACACACGTACACACGTACACACACACACGTACACACGCACACGTACACACGTACACACACACGCACACACACACCTACACACCTACACACACGTACACACACGCACACGTACACACGCACACACACACACGTACACACACGTACACACACACACGTACACACACACACGTACACACACACGTACACACGCACACACACACACACGCACGCACACACACACCTACACACACGCACACACACACGTACGCACACACACGTACACACACACGCACACACACACGTATACACACACCTACACACACGCACACACACACGTACACACACACGCACACACACACATACACACAGACGCCCCCGCACAGCTGGCTATGTACGGTTCACACCGCACCAGGTGCCTCATTGTAAAGGCTGAGCCGACCTAGGGGAGGACCAGAACTGCTTCAGACATCACTCGCTGGGGCTGGGACTCAAACTCGGGTCGCCGGGTTCGTGGTGCGGTGCACTGCCAACCACTGCAGCGGTGGCCGCTGCTGGTGGTGCAGTGTTGGTGGTGGTAGTGCAGTGTTGGTGGTGCAGTGGTGGTGGTGGTGGTGCAGTGGTGGTGCAGTGGTGGTGGTGGTGCAGTGGTGGTGGTGGTGCAGTGGTGGTGGTGGTGGTGCAGTGTTGGTGGTGCAGTGGTGGTAGTGCAGCGGTGGTGGTGGTGCAGTGGTGGTAGTGCAGCGGTGGTGGTGGTGCAGTGGTGGTAGTGCAGCGGTGGTGGTGGTGCAGTGGTAGCGGTGGTGCAGCGGTGGTGGTGGTGCAGTGGTGGTGCAGTGTTGGTGATGGTGGTGCAGTGGTGGTGGTGCAGTGGTGGTAGTGCAGCGGTGGTGGTGCAGTGGTGGTAGTGCAGCGGTGGTGGTGGTGCAGTGGTAGCGGTGGTGGTGGTGCAGCGGTGGAGGTGGATGCAGCGGTGGTGGTAGTGCAGTGGTGGTGGTGCAGTGGTAGCGGCGGTGGTGGTAGTGCAGCGGTGGTGGTGGTGGTGGTGCAGCGGTGGTGGATGACCCACCTGGTTGATGAGGTTCACCGTGTGGTGGAGCTGCTCGGCCGCTCTGCGTCGCTCCGCCCCAGAGTTTACGTCCTCCATCGCGTCCCGGATCTGCCTCTCGGCCGCGTCGCTGAACAGGACCTGAGGAGCGGGGGGGGGCGGAGACACGGGGACGCCGACCGTTGTCACGGCAACGCAGCCTGTGGCCTATCGCCACGGCGCCGGTGGCTGCGTTGCACGTGGCTCACAACAACGACGAGCGGAGCGTGAATGGCCGGTATTGGTATGGTAACCCGGCGCTTGTGGAGGCGGTGAGGGTGTGTGGATTGAAGGCAAAGGTTCCCCATAGAGCCTTAACAGACTGTTGGGGCAAGTGCTGTTAGCGAGCAGCACCTATGAAGGCCGGCACGGCACACGAGGGGGTGGGTGGCCAGCACCACGCCCGGCCGCCTTTATCTCCCCAGTGGCGATGTTTACACACCGCACCGGGTACTCGTTTGAGGCCGAGTCGACCGAGGGGAGGCCCAGTATTGGTTCAAATAATCGTCACCGGTGTTGGCCGTGAGCGGGAGTCGAACCCGGGTGGCCGGGTTCATGACGCAGCGTGCTAATCGCTGCACCACCGCTCCCGCACCCACGCCCGCCCGCTCGCCCGCTCGCGACACTCTCAAACTTGCTTCGCCGTAGAAGTCACCCTCTCCTGGCTACTGGCCCGGTTATGTTGCCAGTACAGCAAGAGGGTTAATAACCGTCTGTACGGGGATGGGATATCTCACTCTTTCATGCAGTCGGCAAAAAACATCCTAATACAGGACTACAGAGCTTGGGCAACGGTTGGCACCGATCCTGGCAGTCTTCCCGCCTGTCTGTGGCTGTCTGTATCTCTCCGAATCTCGCATTAGCAACGTTAACGCGTTTAATTTCAATGAACACAACCGCCGACGCGGATCCGGAACAACAACAACAACAACAACCATCACGCCGCTGCAGGAGCACGCGGAGGAGTCGACGGCTTGGGGAGGGCGGCCCCCATCCAGCAGCGGACCGAGCACGGCCGACGACGCTGGCGGCGGTTGTGGCTGTTGGCGGCAGCGATGCGCGGACTCACGGTGCCATGGCCGTTGGCTTCGAAGTAGACGCCAACGTCGGCCTTCTGGGCCTGGTGGTGCAGGTGCTTGACTCCCGTCTTCACGCAGTGCACGGGCACCTGCAACAACCACAACAACAACCACGATGACAACAACAACAACAACCACGATGACAACAACCACGATGACAACCACAACATTAACCACGAAGTCAACAACCACGATGACAACGCCAACAACAACAACCACAACAACAACCACGATAACAACCACGATGACAACGCCAACAACAACAACCACAACAACAACCACGATGATAACAACCACAACAACAACCGCGATGACAACAACAACAACCACGACAACAACCACGATGACAATGCCGACAACCACAACAACGACCACGATAACAACCACAACAACAACCACAACAACAACCACAACAACAACCACAACAACAACCACAACAACAACCACAACAACCACGACAACAACAACCACGACAACAACAACCACGACGACAACCACAACCACGATAACCACAACCATGACAACAACGACAACAACCACAACCACGGCGACAACCACAACAACCATAACAACAACAGCCACAATGACAACAACCATAACAACAACCACAACAACCACAACAACCATAACAACAACAGCCACAATGACAACAACCATAACAACAACCACAACAACCATAACAACAACAGCCACAATGACAACAACCATAACAACAACCACAACAACCATAACAACAGCCGCAACAACAACAACAGCCACAATGACAACAACAACACCCCCCCCCGCCCCGAGAGAGCGTGGAGTCTCACCCCGAGCGTGTGGGTGAGGAAGTGCGTGGAGCTGCCGTTGGCGTAGGCCGTCTGCACCACAGAAACCTGCAGCTGCAGGGCCGCCTGTATGGATGCAGCAGAGTCCACCGCTCAATGTCACAGGTCAGGGATAGAGCGGCAGCACAGAGGTCAGGGGGCCGCACTACGAACCCGGCGACTCCGGGTTCGATTCCCGCTCGCTCGCGGCCAGCAACACCAGCGACGACTTTCGGAACCGATCCTGGGACTCCCCGACGTCGACTCGGCGTCAAACGAGGGCCCGGCCCGGTGCGGCGTCTAAAACATCCGCGCCTCCGATTAGCACGGTTGGCTGCGCACGGCGCGAAAGAAGTTCAACGTACATCCAGGGGTGGTACAGACGCAACGAGCGAATGCTCTGCATTATGAGACGCGCAAAACCAGCGGCGGTCCATCGGTCAGGACTGGAGGCAGAGACGCAACGTGCACGTTAACCCACCACCACCACCACCACCACCCGACACAGCCAATGATGAAAGTTTGTCACGTGAGCAAAACGTGCCGATCGGCGACCGCTTCAGGCGCGTTGTGGGGAGAGCAATCCCCACAACGTTGACAATCTCGAGTACGGCGTCGGGGGACGCGCCGAGCATCGTCCTCAGCAAGAACCACGCGAACCTCCGAACCAAAATCAGCGCAAGGGCGGAGCGCCCGCGGGTTTCACCGTCGGCCGGCGGGCAGGCTCGCTTGCCGGGCGAGAGCGACCGGCCGCTCCGAGCGACCGGCCGCTCCAAGCGAGCGGCCGCCGCCGCCGCCCCCCGCACCTGCTCGAGCAGATCCTGCAGGAAGCGGGCGATGAGCGTCGCGATCTTGTCCCCGTCGAGGAGGCGGAAGCGGCCGGCGTCGTCCGCGTAGAAGAAGACGACGCGGTCGCCATCGCCGTCGAACGAGCAGCAGTGGGCGTTGGGCGCCAGCTCCACTCCTGCCGCCGGGCGACATTCGCGGGTCGCGGTGGGCGGGGGGGGGGGGGGGCGGGGGGGGGGCACGAGGCCAGGCAGGGCAAGGAATGTGTTTTTTTTTCCCCCAGGTAAAGCCCCGCCGAGCTATGAAGTTGTTTTTCAGGAGCGAGTGACGGGTCGACAAAGCGGCCCGACGCCATCGCCATCGCCGCGGAAATTTATAAAAGCAAAAACTTTTTTTTTATTGTCCATAGTAAAGGGTTTTTTTTTTGGGGGGGGGGGGGGGGTTAGGTTCGTGGGAATGTAAATGTGTCGATAAACCCACCACCACCACCCGGCACAGCCAATTAGTAAAGGTTTGTCACGTAAACAAAACGTGGCAATTAGCGACTGCTTCAGCACACGGCTTGTGTGTTGGAGAGTAAACCCACAAGATTTATAATTCGAGTACTGTGACGTTTCGCTGGTGATTACAAGCAGCTTCGTCAGGCAATTAGCCAGAAACATCGTGAGCACCAGGCACTCATTTGAGCCTGAGTCGACCTAGGGGAGGCCCAGGACCGGTTCAGATCTTCGTCACCGGTGTCGGCCGTGAGCGGGAATCGAACTCGGGCCGCCGGGTTCGAAGCGCAGGGCGCTAACCGCTACACTACCACTCCCCACACAGACAAACACACAGTGATGCACGCACCAGCGCCCCACCAGGGCCCCAACAGGGCCCCACCAGGGCCCCACCAGTGCCCCACCAGCGCCCCACCAGGGCCCCACCAAGGCCCCACCAGCACCCCACCAGGGCCCCACCAAGGCCCCACCAGCGCCCCACCAGCGCCCCACCAGCACGCCACCAGGCACCCATCAGGGCCCCACCAGCACCCCACCAGGGCCCCACTAGCGCCCCACCAGCGCCCCACCAGCGCCCCACCAGCACCCCACCAGCGCCCCACCAGGGCCCCACCAGCACCCCACCAGGGCCCCACCAGGGCCCCACCAGGGCCCCACCAGGGCCCCACCAGCGCCCCACCAGCGCCCCACCTGCACCCCACCAGCGCCCCACCAGCGCCCCACCAGCGCCCCACCAGCGCCCCACCAGCGCCCCCACCGGCGCCCCACCGGACGCACGTACCCACCCTGCGGAGGCTTCTGCTGCACCTTGACGTAGTCGGCGCCGCAAGCCTCGTTCAGTTTGCCGGCCGTGCCGTCGTTGCTCACGGTAACGCTCAGCTGCTCCCGCAGGGGGCCCAGGAGCTCCAAGAGCCGCGGGGCACCGATGCCGTTGGCCGCGTCCACGGTGAGGCGGCGGGGGAGGCCCTGGGCCGGAGCCTGCGGGCCATGGAGCAGAGGCTCGGCGCTTTGCAAGCGTCAACAAGGGCTGCTGAGCTCATTGGGTCGCTCCGGTATCAATAAACATTCGGACGCTGAATAAAGAATTCTCATCTTGGTGGTATGCCGCCCATGCCGTGCGCTATTAGTCTCAAGCATTGCCCCGGCGGGCGGCGATGGACAGCTGCGCGCGACGAGGAGCGAGCAGTGAGGAGGAGGAGGAGGAGGAGGAGAGAGAGTGCTCCCACCTGCTGGAGGAGCGCTAGGAAGGCCTGCGTGAGCTTGCGAGCGTAGCCCGCCAGCGAGGGCTCCCCGTAGCGCCCCTGCGTGTTGTGGCACCGCACGACGTAGTGCAGCTGCGGGGTGGTCACCAGCCCCAAGTCTGCGGAGGTAAATGACGCTCGGGGTCATGCACGGGGGGGCCCCCCATCCCCCCCCCCACCCCCGCCCCACGAGGAGGGATACAGAAACACGGAGAGACACACGGAGGTGTCTGTGTCGAGTGAGAGGTGTTTGAGCACGGACACGTCTGTGAGTAGGCCTGCGTTACCCCGGTAAGTCGCCCCAAGTGCCTCCACTCCGTCCATCACGGCCCGAGAGAGAGCCTCGCTGCTCGGCCTGCGAATAATTAAATTTGATTGAACGCGCAGAACAACTCCTCGATTCAGCACGTCATCACCGACGACGTCCCCACGTCAAGTCGACCGCCGTGCGAGGGACTCCCCCCTCCCGTGTCTCTCCACGTCACCTCGTGTCTCTGCCCAGCAGCACGTGGCTGGGCGCCTGCATGTCCACGCCCTCCGCCTCCGCGATGGCGCGCAGCTCGCCCGCCAGGGCCGCGTCGTCCGCGTTGGCGAGCCGCGTGGCGTGCTCCTCCCACGAGGCCACCAGCATCTCCCCGAGAGGCTCCACCAACTTCACGCCGTTATCCTCCTAGAGGTGAGAGGGCGGGAGAGAGAGAGAGAGAGGAGAGGAGAGAGGAGAGGAGAGGTAAAAGAGAGATGGGAGAGAGGAGACAAGTAGGCGGGAGAGGTTTCAGCGTCGGAATGACGAGGCTCGACTACTGCGACCCGCCGCTCTACGGGACGTCCGGCAAAAAAAAAAGAGAAAAAAACCCGAGCAAGCTGCAGCCTCTGCGTGTGCAACATTCTCCCGCCGACCCCACGGACCGCTCACCTCGGGGTTGTGCGACGCGGTGACCATGACGGCGACGGCGGCGCGCGTGGCCTTGGCGCGCAGCGCGGCCAGCAGGCCCATGCGGAACATGACGTGGGGCAGCCGCTCGGCCAGCGTGCGGAACCCCGCCGTGCCGTACTCCAGCTGCAGCGCCGGCGGCTTCGGGCGATGCGCCCCCCTCCGCCGCACCTCCTCCTCCCACGCCATCGCCTCTTCCCTGCTCCTTCCGCTTTGCTCGACGCCGCCGCCGCCGCCGCCGCTTCTTGCCTTTCGAACGGCAAACAAGGTTCAGAGGTCGAATCGGTTGCGGGCGATTCGTTGCTGAGAGTCGCTCAATGGCTGATGTGTATATGCATGTATGTCGAGCTTCTTTCGCGTCGTACGGAGCCAACCGTGATAACCGCAGGCGCGCAAAAAAGGTGCTGATGCACTCACCCCACCCAACAACCCACCCACCCACTCGCTCACTCATCTATCCACCCACCCACTAACTCACCCCACCCAACAACCCACCCGCCCACTCGCTCACTCATCCAACAACCCACCCAATCACCCACCTACCCACCCACCTACCCACTCACCACCCACTCACTCACTCATCCAACCACCCACCCAATCACCCACCTACCCACTCACCACCCACCCACCCACTCGCTTACTCATCCAACCACCCACCCAATCACCCACCCACCTACCCACTCACCATCCACCCACTCAACCACTCACCCTACCCACTCACCCACCTCACCACCCACTCAACCACTCACCACCAACCCGCCAAGTGATGCGTCAACACGGGCTGCCCCCCACCCCCGTCCCTCCTAAATCCTCATCCCCAGTCGACAGCCACGAAGCTCGTGATGGGACATTCCACGTTCCTGTGGCAGGGACGAGTCTAACATGAACCCTAGGGGTCAACCGCTGTGGACTTCCGCACAAACTTGTTGTTCAAACTGTGTTGTTCAACTTCTTTGGTTCTTTTGGTAAAGTCACGTAGAATGAGACTAATATAATAAATTGATAAAATAAAATAACACAATAAGTTATGTTGTTCAAGTTCTGTTGTTGACAAAGGTCCCCCGTGTAGCCTAAACAGACTGTAGGGGCAAGTGCTGTTAGCGAGCAGCGCCTGTGAAGGCCGGCGCTGTGGCAGACGAGGGGGTGGATGGCCAGCACCACGCCCGGCCGCCTTTGTCTCCCTCGTGACAACTTGTTCACACACCGCACCAGGTGCTCATTTGAGGCCGAGTCGACCTAGAGGAGGCCCATGACCCGGTTCACGTGATAATCGCCACTGGGTGTGTGTTGGTGGCCGTGAGCGGGAATCGAACCCGCGTCGCCGGGTTCTCAGCGCTCACCACTACACCACCGCTCCCCCGGCGAGCGAGCGACACACACAACAACAACACAAAGTGTGTGTTGTTGTTGACAGCATCCCATCGAGCCGTCTCGCACGTTCACAATTCGGCACAGCGCCAATTTAACAAACACAAATTTCTTTAAAAAATAAATCCGTGAGGCGGTTTCGACAAGGTGGTGTGTCATCAGCTGGCCCAACAGCAACAGACACCGCACTATGGCCACCCCAAAATAAACAATTATAATAGTGTATGATTATTATTATCATCATCATCATTACCGTGAGGCGTCAGCGGTGGGTCTCGAACCCGTGGAGGTCGTGGGCCCAGGCGCGTGACTCACCAGCGCCTCGGCGCTCCTTCAGCCCTCCTCCGTCTGTGGGGAGACTGCTCAGCGCGCCCTCTCTTAACTCTCTCCCTGGACCCTGAACTCTCCCCCCTCTCTCTCTCTCCCTGGATCCTGAACTCTCCCCTCTCTCTCTCTCTGGGCGCTGAACTCTCCCCTCTCTCTCTCCCTGGCCGCTGAACTCCCCCCCCCCCACTCTCTCCCCCCTCTCTCTCTGGGCGCTGAACTCTCCCCCGTCTCTCTCTCTCACAGAGAGGGAGACACGTGGCACGTGCCCATCGCTTCCGTGTGGGGAGGGGCAAGGGGTGGAGCCGGGGAGAAAGGGGGCGGGACTGATGGGAAGGGGGCGTGGAGAGGGCGTGGTCGGGAGAGGGAGGTGGGCGTGGCTGATGTAATCTTCATTTGAAGCTTTCGCGACTCTTTGATTTTATTTTATTTTCTAACTACGTGACTTTACCGAAAGAACCAGAGAGTATGATGCATTTTAATTAAGGGGGCCGTCCATAAATGACGTCACGCGATGTTGGACGATTTTTGACCCCCCCCCCTTCGTCACACGGCGTCACAAAAGTCTGACCCCCCCTCAAATATGACGTCACAAAGCTCTGCCCCCCCCCCAAAAAAAAACATGCTTCAAATCGCTTTAAACTAGTGTCATTGTAGTGCGTATTTAATGTGGCGCTGCACTTTGATGTTGTAAGAGAAAACATTTATTAAAAAGTCTATTTAATTAAGTAGAACGTGTTGTCTATATTTATTTAAAGTTGCGCATTTTGATGTGACGTCACATTTCTCACCCCCCCCCCCCCTCGTCACACATCGTCACAAATGTCTGACTCCCCCCCACCCCCCTAGGTGCGTGACGTCATTTAAGAACGGCCCCTTAATATGGGGCGGGCCCTATATCTGAGTCACACGTGACGCGGGAGAAAATCCCCCCGTGGGGTAGAGGAGGGGGGGGGGCCGTAATGGGAAATGTGGCGCCCAGCGCAGAGTGGGGAGCGCTCCTGCGCGTGTTTCTTGGGGTGTCATTTGGGGGGCCCCGGGGGAGCGAGGCTGGATTATGGACCGGGCCAGTGGGGACAGTGCCCCGGGGCCTCGGACTGCCAGGGGGCCTCCAAGCCTCAGGTCGCGCGCGGTGCGTGGCCCAAGACTTCCGAAGGAAGTTGGACACCAGGGCCCTCAGTGCGCACAGCGCAAGCTGACCACTAGGGCCCCCTTTGTGCTTATAGCGCGAGCTGACCACTAGGGGCCCCTTTGTGCTTATAGCGTAAGCTGACCACTAGGGCCCCCTTTATGCTTATAGCGTAAGCTGACCACTAGGGCCCCCCAGACCCCTCGGCGCTTACAATGGGAGGGCCCCCCAAACCCCTTGGCGTATAAACAGTGAGCTGACCACTCGGGCCTCTAGGCCCCTTGGTGTATAAATAGTGAGCTGACCACTCGGGCCTCTAGGCCCCTTGGTGTATAAATAGTGAGCTGACCACTCGGGCCTCTAGGCCCCTTGGCGTATAAATAGTGAGCTCACCACTCGGGCCTCTAGGCCCCTTGGTGTTTAAAGAGTGAGCTGACCACTCGGGCCTCTAGGCCCCTTGGCGTATAAATAGTGAGCTCACCACTCGGGCCTCTAGGCCCCTTGGTGTATAAATAGTGAGCTGACCACTCGGGCCTCTAGGCCCCTTGGTGTATAGTGAGCTGGCCACTCGGGCCTCTAGGCCCCTTGGTGTATAAATAGTGAGCTCACCACTCGGGCCTCTAGGCCCCTTGGTGTTTAAAGAGTGAGCTGACCACTCGGGCCTCTAGGCCCCTTGGCGTATAAATAGTGAGCTCACCACTCGGGCCTCTAGGCCCCTTGGTGTATAAATAGTGAGCTCACCACTCGGGCCTCTAGGCCCCTTGGTGTATAAATAGTGAGCTCACCACTCGGGCCTCTAGGCCCCTTGGTGTATAAATAGTGAGCTCACCACTCGGGCCTCTAGGCCCCTTGGCGTATAAATAGTGAGCTCACCACTCGGGCCTCTAGGCCCCTTGGTGTATAAAGAGTGAGCTGATCACTCGGACCTCTAGGCCCCTTGGTGTATAAATAGTGAGCTGACCACTCGGGCCTCTAGGCCCCTTGGTGTATAAAGAGTGAGCTCACCACTCGGGCCTCTAGACCCCTTGGTGTATAAATAGTGAGCTCACCACTCGGGGCTCTAGGCCCCTTGGCGTATAAAGAGTGAGCTGACCACTCGGGCCTCTAGGCCCCTTGGTGTATAAATAGTGAGCTGACCACTCGGGCCCCCAGGCCCCTGGGTGCTCACAGCGTGAGTTGACCACTAGGGCCCCCAGGCCCCTGGGTGCTCACAGTGTGAGTTGACCACTAGGGCCCTCAGGCCCCTGGGTGCTCACAGCGTGAGTTGACCACTAGGGCCCCCAGGCCCCTGGGTGCTCACAGTGTGAGTTGACCACTAGGGCCCTCAGACCCCTGGGTGTTCACAGCGTGAGTTGACCACTAGGGCCCCCAGGCCCCTGGGTGTTCACAGCGTGAGTTGACCACTAGGGCCCCCAGGCCCCTGGTTACTCACAGCGTGAGTTGACCACTAGGGCCCCCAGACCCCTGGGTGCACACAGCGTGAGTTGACCACTAGGGCCCCAAGGCCCCTGGGTGTTCACAGCGTGAGTTGACCACTAGGGCCCTCAGGCCCCTGGGTGTTCACAGCGTGAGTTGACCACTAGGGCCCCCAGGCCCCTGGGTGTTCACAGCGTGAGTTGACCACTAGGGCCCCCAGGCCCCTGGGAGCTCACAGCGTGAGTTGACCACTAGGGCCCCCAGGCCCCTGGGTGCACACATCGAGCGTACCACCTGGGGCCCCTTGGTACACGCAGCGCATGCTGAGAACGAGAGCCTCTCGGAGAGTGCGGTGCTTCTGTACAACTGAGCCACTGGTTGGCACGCTACAATACGCTGTGACAAGATACAATATTCACCAACAAGTCAGTTCATGCTGCAGGACAGTTTGAAGGGCGGCATATTATGGCAAGCTGTTCGTTATTTGACTTACCGTAGCTAGCTATCCGTTTATTTTAGCTAGATGCCCATTTTCCTTAGCTAGCTGCCCATATGATTCAGCTTGTTAACATAAATTAGTGAGCTAGCTGCCATTTGTGCCAGCTAGCTGCCCTTACAACCAAATTAGCTGCGCTAAAGAGCCAGCTAGTGAGACCTAGGGCTCGTCGGTTGTTGAGAGCTTAGTTAGCCGTTGACAAATCAATTATTAAAAATACATCGCGGTTTTGTGAAACATTAAAAAAATACGCCAAAAGCTATATATTTTTTTAATACACTAATGCATATATAAGAGACCCAATCCATACTTAAAGATTAAGGAAAACCCCATTAATTTTTTTCCATAGACCGTCTGTTTTTAGATCCACGGAAGTAGATCATGCTAACGTTGACATGCAAATTGTTGACAGCTCTTAATGAGGTTTTTTACTCCCCTCCTCATCGATGAGGTGTGGCCTATGGGGTGTAGCCCCTCCCCATCGATGGGGTGTGGCCTATGGGGTGTGGCCCCTCCCCATCGATGGGGTGTGGCCTATGGGGTGTGGCCCCTCCCCATCGATGGGGTGTGGCCTATGGGGTGTGGCCCCTCCCCATCGATGGGGTGTGGCCTATGGGGTGTGGCCCCTCCCCATCGATGGGGTGTGGCCTATGGGGTGTGGCCCCTCCCCATCGATGGGGTGTGGCCTATGGAGTGTGGCCCCTCCCCATCGATGGGGTGTGGCCTATGGAGTGTGGCCCCTCCCCATCGATGGGGTGTGGCCTATGGAGTGTGGCCCCTCCCCATCGATGGGGTGTGGCCTATGGGGTGTGGCCCCTCCCCATCGATGGGGTGTGGCCTATGGGGTGTGGCCCCTCCCCATCGATGGGGTGTGACCTACGTGCATAGTCTCCACCAAGTAATTTCACCGACTTATCAGAAACCTTTGTTGGTTGTTCGGCCAATGATAAACAAAAAGGTTAACTTTTGAATTTCAAGCAACATAATTCTGTGTGTCAGGCAGGTATATACAACATTACTTGGTAGGAAAAGCCACAGACAGATGCCTGTTTTCTTGCTTGGTGTACACCACAGCCATATATTCAGAGACTTTTTAAATATTTTTCTAAAACAATAGCATTCTTAAAGGCTATTTCAACAATCCCTCCTAAGGGCTATGTTCTAACAGCCTTTTCAAAGGGTTAGGGTTATTTTCTTTGATGTGCCTTTCTATTGTTTTCTTGTATCTACTCAAAGCTGCCTTTAGGTACGAGGAGCCTATAAAATACGACCACTTGATTGTATTTTCCAACAACAGTATTTGAAGGGTGTTGTCACTATTCACGTATATTAATTACATTATTATTTAATAAGTATTGAGATATGATATAAATATATCCATATAACTAGCCTACTGGTCCTGAAATATGAACCGCAAACGTTGGAATAGCGGTGCTTCCAAAAGGAAAGACAAAAAAGACGAGGAGGCAAGAGAGGAAGTTTTGCTTCAAAGTGTTCCACTCATTGCCAACTTCTTTCAAAAACCCTCCGATAGTAATGATGACGACAGCAGCAGCACCATTGTCAGCTGTGAGGAAGGAACTAGCACGAGTTTTGTTTCCAGTAATGTTGTCACTCACCCAGAGCCATCCTTCGAAGTCGAACCCTCAACAGCTAATGGTATACAAGATCCATAATTTCCACCTCAGGAACAGTTGGGCAGTTCACAAGAATCAAAATCAGTAACCAAAGCCATTCCTGGTGCTATGAGGTCACTGACCCTGCATAATAGCAACAAAGCACTTCCAGTGACATTGTTAAGTCAGTGCTAATTGAAAGAGGGGCAGTCCCCTTCCAAAACAGCAGTGAAAAATACCCAGCTTCAGTCCGAGATAGAGCGCTTGGTGGAAAGACGGGAAGTTTCAACGATGAACTTCTGAACTGTATATTGCCAAATGGGCAGAAGGTTTCTCGACAGTGGCTACTGTACTCACCCTCAACAGGTTGTGTGTAACTGTTCTGCATGCGAACTGTTCTCCGGCAAGCTCGGTGGCTTTAGTCAGGGGTTTAGCGACTGGAAGCACTCTGAAAGAATCGGGGAACACGAAAATAGTGCAGAACAC